AACGAACTGAAACAGAATGCCAAAACTCTGGAAGAAGCGGGACAGGACATGATTGTTGCACTGATAGTATTCTTAGAAGACCGTGCAACCAAGGGCCGCAATCCACCTTTTCCTCCTCGCCCTCCTTTGCTTCCTTGCCATTGCGTTCCTCCTCCTCCTCCTCCGCCCCAACCTACCCCGCGGTCTCAACAACGGATGCATCCCTCACGCGGATCGGGCCGTCACGGTAAGAATAAGCGATGCATGTTAAACATGTCCGTTCAATGGTATGATTGAACTCGCTGGTTTCGATGCCTTCGCACAACACCAGCCCTTTGTTGTTCAAGACATGGGTGCTCACACACCTCGCATGCTGTGCCATGTATATGTTTGATGCATGACAGTGTGCGTTTTAGAGCAGGAGCCGGAGTAGGCGGAGCCAGCTGCACTGGCTTCAAGCGGAGCGGGCTCTAGCAAGAGGCGTTATTGGAGCAGCCTGTATGCTGGTACCAGGCGCCACCGCTGTATCAATTGCGAGCGGGAAATCCATATCGTCGCGTCGAAAGCTAATCCTCTCCATCTCCGAGACAGCAGAACCGAAGACGGCGCTGCTGAGGGGTATGATCAATGTGACCAAAGTCAACGTGAGGCTGTGCGGGGCACCTGTGCTGAGAAGAGGATCGCCCACGAAATAAATCGCTGGGAGCGTGAACGACTGGGCCAAAGCTCTCGATAGGGTCGAGAAACGCTTGATGACGAATCCGGTCATCCAGCCCTGCAGCACGTTGACGACCAGCGCGGCCACAATCCACCAACTGTCCCATGCTGCGAAGATCGAGGAACAAACATAATGCCACAAGCACGGACTTTCGGAGGCCCGCGCGGATTTCTGGGATCGGCGCTGGACCCCGTCGCGTGGAGCGAGCCAGGGGCGGCGCCTGAGGCGCCGGCGAGGGGCCTCCAGCGCCGATCCGAGAAATGCGCGCGGACCTCGAATGATGAACCAAAAAAAGAAAAAACCCAACCCTTTGGGAGGGGACCTAAGTTAGGAGGACCAGGAACATTAGGGATAGGGAGCTTCTTTTCTCCAGATGTATCGAACCAAACCGCCCAGATCGACCATCCCTGATGCGAAAACGAGGACCGCAGTGAAGCTACGTCTTCATCGTGTTATTGAAATTGGGGGTTTCTTTATCCCCAATGATCCGAGAGTTCATTAGGGGAACGAACCAAGACATAAACGAATAAACTCGGAGGTCCGCGCGGATTTCTCGGATAGGCGCTGGACCCCCCTGGCGGCGCCTCCGGCGCCGCCCCTGGCGCGCGCCGCGCGCCAGCGAGACAGCGCCGATCCGAGAAATCCGAGCGGACCTCCGAGTTTTTATGTTTATGTACTTCCTCGTCCCCCTATTCATGAGGTAGGACCCCGAAGAAGGGAGGTAGGACCCCTCCACCACCACTACCATAGGTAGGACCCCGGAGAAGGGAGGATGGAGAGGTTCTCCTCCTCTTCCTCCTCCTTCTCCTCCTACTCCTGCTACGTATGGCATGGCTGCGGCGGTGGAAGATCGGCCCATCATTAGAGGGCAAAACATCCACCCACATAATAAGCACCCCGACAAACGAGGCCGGTCAGTAAACGCACCCAAAGAAAGAATCAAACAGGGCAGGGCTGTTCCGTAAACGCCCAGGGCCGTTTAGTATAGTAAACGACAACTGTCGGGTCCGGGTGGCTTTTCCTCCGTTGCATCATACGCGTGCTCTGGTCCACTCTTTGTTCCCCGAGAAGAACCCCGCGCCGCACGCACAGTGGCAGTCGGGGCTGCCGCACCCGCCGCCGGCCTGCCAGCAGGCGCCGTCCCCGCAGGAGCGGTCCAGCGGCCGCGGCTTCCAGAACGCGTACTTCGGGTCCTCCTCTCTCTCTCTCTCTCTCGAGGAGGAGGAGGAGGAGGAGGAGGAGGAGGAGGAGGAGGAGGAGGAGGAGGAGGAGGAAGAGGAGGAGGAGGAGGAGGAGGAGGAGGAGGAGGAGGGGGGAGAGGTGGAGCAGTGAACGGAGGGTGAAGAAGCGTGCACCTTTCGGGCACCGCGGTGGCAGACTTGGGGCCGCGCAGGGCCCAGTCGGGGCCATTTCTCCCGCAGTCCTCCCTCCTCCTCCTCCCCTCCTCCCTCCTCCCTCCTCCTCCCTCCTCCTCCCTCCTCCTCCCTCCTCCTCCCTCCCTGCAGTCCTGGTTCCTCCTGAGGTTTCTGCCCCCCCGGGCGCCGCCCGCCCGATCCTCCAGGCAGGCGACGACCGGCATGGACAGCAGGACGCAGACCGCGCTCCCGAGGTCCAGGCCTATCTTCTGGACGTGGAAGGGCCGGCCCTCCTCCTTCATGAGCTTCTCCGAGGCCAGCGAGGCGAGGACGCTAGCCACGGCAGAGCCCACCACGCACGCCGCCCCCATGATGCTGGACGACCCCGCGTCGGCTTCTGCGAAGGAAGTGGACAGGAGGCCGTAGATCATCAGGGCGCATGAGAGTATGCCCAGAGCGAACCACTCAAGCCACATGTAGTACTTACCGAGCACGAGAGCGCTGGCCAAGGCCGCGAATGGCGTGTATATGTAACCGATCGCTGTGTTGAGGCTGGCACTGACGCCGTAAGAGTACGCCATCGCGGTGAGTATGCTTGAGACGCCGAAGAAGAAACCGCAAGGCAGATATCTTATCAAGTTCCACGGGTGCAAGCCGTGCCGCAGGTCGCCCAGGCATGCCGGCACACTGTCAGAGGCCGCCGCAGTGGTCACGAGGGCCACAAGAACACCGACGGCATAGGTGACAAAGACGAACGTCTGCGGAGTGAGCATGAGACCTCCAAGCACCGTCGCTTGAGTAAGCTGGCGGGCGGAATCCGACAGCACGAAGACGATGATGGAGGCGTTCTGCATGACGGCCTGTCCAAGGCCGTGGCACCGCAGCCATCTCAGACTTGCCGCCGCCATGCCAGTGGACGACCAGAGAAAAACAGCAACAGGCACAACCATGAACCTGTCGGAGCTCCGCGCGGATGTCGCGCATCGGCTCTGAGCCCCCCGGGCTGCTCCTCCGGCGCCGCTCCTGGCGCGCTCCGCGCAGCAGGGAGCGGGGGGGGGTCCAGCGCCGATCCACTAGGGCTCCCAACTTCGCGCTTCGCGCTCCGCGAAGCGCGAAGCGCGAATAACTTCGCGCTCTCGCGCCGCCCCCCCAGAGGGAGAAGAGGAGGACGAGGAGGAGGGGGAGAAGGAACGAGGACCGCGAAGCGCGAAGCGCGAATAACTTCGCGCCCTCGTGGGAGCCCTTGGATCCAAGAGAAAGCGGCGCGGACCTCCGAGAGCGCATGTTTGTGCAGGTTGTTTTTTTTCGTGCGACTCCCCTCGCCACTGGCGTGCCCAGGCTGGCCTGCAGGTCTGCGATGATGAGCCGGCCCGTCTGGTACACGAGCGCCGAGAGGAAGGTGATGGCGGACAGCAGCGAGCCCACGGCCTGCCCGCTGACGATGGCGCCGTCGCCCCTCAGCGGATCGATCACGAGGATGCTCAAGCTCAGAGACATCACCTCGACAATCAGGGACGTGACGGTGGAAAAGTACGCCACGACCAACAAGGACAGCCAGCTGACCAACACCCGCGAGCAAACTACCAACAGGTCAGTCAGGGTCACACCCTCGAGACTGCTCGAGGGAGACTCGCCGAGCGCTAAAAGTTGCACGACCCAGCAAACACAACAAATGATCAACATCGCGACGTCGAGCTGTCCTTTGCACACGCAAAATTTGGATAACCGCCCAGGTTCTTGACCCGACTCCCTTGAGGCCCCATCTTGTAAAGAGCAATTCTTGATCGCACGTTCAGCATACGTCAGCCAGAGCACGCCCGTTACGACCATTAGCAAGATCATGACCGAGCCCCCTGCGATCTCCAGAGCTGTGCGCTGGCGCGGCTTGCCGTCGTCAAGGGCGCGGATCCTCAGCGCCAGCAGCGTAAGGGAGGACAGAGTCATGATGGCGATGGACAGAGACTCCAGCGAGCCGTACCTGAGCATCGCTTAACCGATCTCTATCCTCACTGAGATGGTGTTGGCCCCACTGGCTGACTTGCCCCCTTAGGTGGGGATACATGCTGTTCCCCTAAGAGTTTCGCGGGGCCCATCCCCGCGTGGGGGGTGGGCTAGTGGGGCTCACTGGCCATCGCTCGGACGTCCATTCCCTGTGTTTTTTTTTGATTTCGTGCGTGTTTTTTCCCCGAATGATCAAAGATGCTCCTCGATGGTCCTCGCCGAAAGAACAATGCACACGTCCGAGCGATGCCAAGACGATGCCGAGCACCTCCGCTTCATCACGACCTGGCCCACGACCGCGGACAGGGGTAGCGCGAGCTGGCCGAGGATGAACGCCGCCCCGACCGGGGCGTGGAACACGTGCACCGCTACGGGCATGCACAGCAAATTGACGGCGCACAGAGCGGCGATGGTCGGGTCGGGCGAAAGGGGGGGATAGCAAAGGGGGGGGTTGAGAATCAGCTCGCGTAGCTGATTTTCCCGGCGCCTCCCGGCGCCGGAGGCGGCTATGTTTCGAGGAATGGGCCCCTCAGTGGGGCCGAAACCAGCTGCACGCAGCAAATTTCGTACCCCCCCCTTTCCCTATCCCCCCCTTTCGTTCGGCCCGAGATGGGCACGAAGCGCATGACGCCCCGAGGCCTGCGGAGATGTTGCCCACCTTGCTTTCGGGTCATAGCTCGGCCCTCTGGCAAGCGCCATTGATGATTCGGGCTCCCCCAGAACGCTCTCGGCGGGACGCAGCTGCTGAAAAGGCACCCCGAGGCTGGAAGGTCGACGAGAACCAAAGAAAATCGAGGAGAAGAAAGCGGGGACCATGACCAAGACTGAACGCGAAAACGTCGTGCCGATCTGGGTCACCGTCGATCTTGGTCAGCGTCAATTCGCAGACCACCCTCAAGATTCGGCGACGGCTGACACGGACCATGGCCAGGATCGGCATCGACAGA